CCTCCCCCCCCCCGTGGCGGCTGCCGCAGGACCTGTCCTCCCGGTTGGGCAGGAAGCTCTTTTCCAGGGCGATAAAAGCACGTTTCTATTTAGAGAGACCTCGTTCTTGGGGCTGCCTCCCCGGCGCGGCTCTGACCGGGGCTGGGGGACCGCGGTTTGCTCGGAAATCCCCCAACGTTCGGGTGAAGGTGATGTTCCCGGCGCGGATATTGCGGCTGTAATTCACACCCGCGGTCGGCAGCAGCCGGAGATGCTGATGTGCGGGGTTGGGTACAGCCGAGGGGGGGTTGTATCTCTCCCCATGAGCGGGGTGCCTTCGGGTGTGGGTGTCAGCGATGGGCACCGCCTGCTGCCGTGCCAATCTCGTTTCCTTGGGCTCGGCTGATAAGCTGGATGTGCTCTCTCGTTAATGGAAGCAATAAATCCACTCAGCGCTGCTCTGGCCTCTCCCAAGGAGCTCTTATCGCTCCCGTTTCCAAGCAAGCAAAGCCACCGGCACGGAGCTGCTCGGCAAACCCGCTTTCCCATCCCCTTCCCGTCACCCTCGGCCCGGGAGAAGGGGGCTGCAGCCGTTTGCTGGGTGATAACGGCCCCGAACAAAGCCGCCCCTCGGAGCAGCACTGTTTCCAGGCAGGAAAATCCCCGCAAAGGCTCCGCACGCTCGAGCTGACGCCCTGAACAGGGGGCAGGAGAAACGCCGTCGGTTCTGCGCCTCGTTTGGCCCCTCGCAGGGGGCCTTTCTGGGAAACGGGGTGAAACCAGAAGGGATGTGTGGTTTCAGAGGATAAAGAGAAGGTGGTGCTTTTGTCCCTTCTGTCGAGGTGTCTCGTTATTTTTTTTATTGAATTAGCGGGGTATTAAAATCCAACGGGCACTTAAATTTCTGAATGGCTGGCAGCTTTCGGAAAACTGCTTTCCGAATTCCTGCACCCACAGCCATCGCTCGGAAGCGACGCACGGCGAAGGCCGTGGGAGCAGCTCTCCTCTCCCTTAGCGCCCGTTCTCCTCCTGCCTGCTTCCGAGGACGGGGAGGCTCTCCCGCAGAGCTCTGCCCTCCCAGGCCGTCCTCGCCGTTGGGGCTCCCAGCTCTCCCCTTTTCCGCAGGGAGAGATAGTGGGACGGCGGGAGGACGGCCTTGAGACCGGGGCAGGCGCTGGGAGAGCACATTCCTGTCCCGCCACGGGTGTCTGTGGTCCCGCGAGGATCTTTTACCCCCTTCCAGCTCCCACTGCAGAGCCCGAACCGGTTCTGTGTAGGATCCAGGTGTTTCCGAGCCCCTGCACGCCATCCCCCGGCACCCGCTGTTTACACATCGGGGCGATCGACTCGGTACAGCATTAACTCGCTTATTTAGCCGCGTCAGTAAACGTCTGTCTTTTCATTCCTTGCAGGGACTTCCTTCCCCGAGGCTCTGGAATTGTCACTCGGCGACCTCTCATCCTGCAGCTCATCTTCTCCAAGACAGGTACGGTTTGGCCCGTCGGAAGAGGGAGAGGGTGGTCGAAACCCTGGGCTGGCAATCACGGCTCCGTCTACCCTTCAGACGGGGAGTACCGCCGGCGTTCGGCTGCGTGCCTGCGCTCCGGCCTCTCGTAGATGCGTCGTTTAACGAGCGTGTGAATGCGTCGGTAACGGTTCTGCTTCGTTTGAGTGGTCCTCGGACGGGGTTTTGGCTGCTGAGGAGCACTCCTGCTCTCGGGGATGAAAGCCGCCCTGGAAGTGGCAAACGAGAGAGGGAGTTTCTGTAATTCGGCACCGATGCCGGCGTTTCGGCGTACGTCTGGCTGAGAGCACGCACCGGCAGCGTGGCTCGCGTTCAGGCCGGTTGCGAACGCGCGCTGCCCTTGACGCTGAGCAGTTGGGCTTTGTGCCGCAGGAGGCTTCTGTAGAAGGTCGCACCGATCCTTTCTTCCCCAGAATACGCTAAATCCCGAGTAAGACTGCAGGAGGTTTATAAAACAGCGAGTCAGCCCCCTTGAGGTGCCTCGTGCTGGCAAGGGGAGGGCAGGGCTGCCTGCGAGGCGCAGGGGAGAGGGCAGCGGAGCAGGGGTTGAAGCGGTGACACGTTTTAGGTCCGTTCAGGTCCGTCCTCCTGCTCCCCTCCGGCAGAAAGTTCCCGTTTCCCTTAAGGCGGCGTCATCCTGATGATAAGGGGGACTTTGCACGCAAGCGTTAAAAGCGCTGGCGGTCGCTGATCAAAGCGTGCCTGGCTGCTTCCCCATCGCCCCGTGACTCCGTTCCGCTTTGCACCCTGGTACGGAGGAGTTGCGAAATCGGCCCCTGCCCTGGTTCACCTGCCTGCACGTGGCGAGGAACGCCGAGGAGCTGGACGCGGGGCACGAGGACGCCTCCTTTTCCCAACCAGGCACGCTTCGAAAGCATCAGCCGGCCTGATTGCCGGGGAGGTTTCTCCCGTTGCCTTCCCCTGAATGAAACGCGTGGTCCTCTTCCGAAAAACCGGGGGTTTGGGTCAGTCCTGGCAGAGCCGGAGCGGTCTGCGGAGCCGCGCTCCGCAGCCGCCTTTCGCCTTGGCTCAGGTGACCTGTTTATCAAGTAATTAGTCGTTTCTGGTACCCAGAACACACAAAGGGATTGCAAAATGTCACGGCCTGTGGATGATAAGGTGTCACCAGGCTGGAACCGGTAGGAGTGGAAGGGCCAGGGCAGGGCTGGTATTTCCCCTCACCCCACCCACGGGTCGCTGGAGGAAGTGGGTTGCACCATCCCTCTCCCCAGGGCAAGTCCTGGCCCCAAATCCATTAAAATCCCTTTTCCAGGAGCTGTCGGAGGAGCCGGGGCGTCCTTATCCCGGTGACTGTAGGGACGCGCCGTCCCCCTTCCCCCTCACCTCCCTGCTCAGCTTCCCCGCTCCCCTCCAAGCGTCCCCCGCGCTAACGGGTTGCAAAACCCTTTCAGAAAATCCCAGATACCCGCGGGCGACTGCGCAGAGGCCCAGAAAAAGCAGCTGCTTTTCTGTTCCCAGGCGTCTTCCCCGCGGAGGAGCCGGGGCTGGGTTAATGTTTGTCTCCTGGCACGGGTTCCTTGGGCTCGGAGGGGAGAGACAGAGTTGCCGGGGTCAGAGTCGGCCCCTCGCCGGGCTGCGGCTCGGCTGGGGTTGTTGGCTGCGGGGGCAGAGCGAAACGGAGCGATAAATCTGGAGAGCGAACGAGTAAATAAAAGAGAGCTCGCGGTGCAGGTGGAGGGAAGCTGCGGTTCCTTCTTGGCAAGGGGCTGCCGGAGCCGGGAAGCGCCGCCGGTCCTTCCTTGCCGGATGGTGCGAAGATGATATCCCGGGTCTCCGGCACCGGCGTGCCTCCCCGCAGCCGGCTGCGGCCCTTTTGCCGGCACGAGGGGTGCTGCCAGCGCCGGGAGGGTTTGCTGCCCTGCCTCCCGGGCGCACCAGACAGAGCACCTTGGCAGCTGAAGACTCGGGGCTTTCTTCAGCGTTAGGGGTCTGGGCAATAAAACATTTAAAAGCAATCAGCGGGGACTGGAAGGCAAACAGGGCCGGGTGAAAACAAACACGGCCATTCTGATGTCGAGGTTCGTTAGCTGGAGCCAGCGTCGGCTGCCTGCCAGCATCTCACCCAAGGGCAGTTTCTTTTTTGGCAAAGGGAGACGTAACTCCCGAGTCCACATCAAAGCAGCTGCTGCCAGCGCAGAGGCAGCAGGCGGAGTGTCAGCGCGCTCAGCCTGCGCCGGCTGGCTGCCATCCTCCCGGTCTTTCCTCCTCAGCCAGAGGAAGCGGCCAGGCCAAGTTTATTTGGGGCCGCTGCCAGTCAGGAGGCTGAAGACAACCAGGTTAATCCCTGGGCAGGTCCTCGGAGCCTCTCTGGGGCACCGATCCTGCCCGGCTGCTCGGTGTCGCGCCGAAGCGCGTGGCCGGTTCCGCTTTGCCGTGCAGAAACGTCTCTAGGCCGGTTGAATCTCGGTGTGCGTCCTGCGCCGGGCTCCAGATGGCCAAATTGTCCCTTTTTTTTTAAATTTTTTTTTTAATCTCTTCCAGAATATGCTGAGTTTTTGCACTGCAAATCCAAAAAGTTCACAGATTTTGACGAGGTGCGGCAGGAGATCGAAGCGGAAACCGACAGGGTGACGGGAACGAACAAAGGCATCTCTCCCATCCCCATCAACCTCCGCGTCTATTCGCCGCACGGTGAGCGAGCTGTTTCTCTGCCCCAGGCCTCCGTGCGTTAAAAACGCTGCGAAGGAAGAAAAGCCGGCGTTTGCGTACGCGGCGGCTGCGGGATTTCGGCCCAGCCTGTGTCCCGAAAGCAAACGCGGGCTGCTACGTGTGTCTGGCTGATCTCACGCCGGCCTGGGGTCGGTGGGGGCTGCCTGGGCCACCCCCTGAGCAAATCCAGCGTAACTCTGCCTCGGGAGGGGATTTTAAGGCTTGCAGAGGGGTGGATTTGCCAGCAGGTCTGAAGAGATCCAGCTGCAAGACTGAGAGCTCCCAGCGCCAGGCCCTTGACCCCGAACGTGGGCCGTCTCTGTCCTTTCAGTGTTGAACCTGACTCTGATCGACCTCCCGGGTATCACCAAAGTGCCGGTGGGGGACCAACCGCAGGACATCGAGTACCAGATCAAAGACATGATCCTGCAGTTCATCAGCAGGGAGAGCAGCCTGATCCTCGCTGTCACGCCGGCGAACATGGATCTGGCCAACTCGGACGCGCTCAAGATGGCAAAAGAAGTTGATCCTCAAGGTAAGATGGACGCATCCTCCTGCCTGCCTCTGCCCGTGCCGCTGCTCCAGCCCCGGCGTGGAGGGCTAAAGCCTCCAGCGGCTGTCGCGGCAGAGCCTCGGCAATCCGTTCCCCGATTTTGGTACCAGAGGGTCTCCTTGTCCCTCCTCCTCCTCCCACAGAGGACTCTCCGTCCTCCGACAGCTGAGGAAGGGCCAGCGGTTCCGCTCCTCGCTGGCGAGTCCGTGTTTGTTTCGGTCACGCGCCCACGTGCCTCCTTTTGATGCGTTCTGTGAAACGAGATTAATCGATTGCTCGTTTGTGTGGCTGCTTCAGGCTTGCGGACGATCGGAGTCATCACCAAGCTGGATCTGATGGATGAAGGCACAGATGCCAGAGATGTGCTGGAGAACAAGCTGCTTCCTCTACGAAGAGGTATAACGAACCACGACGGCTTTGCGTCACCCCGTATCCTGCCCGCCGCGGCCTTCGTCTCTCGTGCGGAGAGCGTGGCGGTTGAAAACGAGTCGAGGGCAGCTCCTGCGCTCTCCGGTGTCTGCTGGGGAGCCCAGGCCCTTCCTGCTGCCCTTCGCTCCGGGAGAGGTGGCCGTGGATGGCGATGCGGAGCTGCGCGGCCCTGCTCGGACCCTGCTCCGTCCGCAGCGAGAGCCGACCTGTCCCCTTGCAGGCTACATCGGCGTCGTTAACCGAAGCCAGAAGGACATCGATGGTAAGAAGGACATCAGGGCAGCGCTGGCGGCCGAGCGGAAGTTCTTCCTTTCTCACCCGGCTTACCGGCACATGGCTGACCGGATGGGCACCCCGCATTTGCAGAAAGTCCTTAACCAGGTAGGCTTGGCTCCCTTCCCGAGCCTTCTGGGGCGCTGGTGTTTCTCTCTGGTGGAAAAGGGCCGTTCCTGCGGCCGCTCGGGTGCGGAGGAGCGGGTCTCAGTTCTCTCGATTCGTTTGCAGCAACTGACCAACCACATTCGGGAGACGCTGCCTTCGCTGCGCAGCAAACTTCAGAGTCAGCTGCTCTCCCTGGAGAAGGAGGTTGAGGAGTACAAGAACTTCCGCCCCGATGACCCCACGCGAAAAACCAAAGCTTTGTTACAGTAGGTTTCTCTCGCTCAGTGCTGCGTTCCCGGTGCCTCACCTGGCAGCCGAGAGTCACCTCTCCCAGCCAGAAACGTTGCTGGCGCGGAAATACTCTCGCTCCGCGCTTTGCACGAGGCTCGTTTATCCCAGCCGGTGGCTTCTTCCAAGGAAGAGCCCGGAATAGCCGCGCGGTTGGGGGCGAGCGGTGCTGGCGGATGGCCCTGCCAACTCCAACAACGGTGCGAAGCTGGCACCTAGGAGAGGTTCTGTGTCCTCCGGCGCTTGGCTGGCCGGCGGCCGGGCAGGACAAGGGAAGCCTCTCCCCGAAACGCCCGCCGAGCATCTCTGCTGGCCAGCATCGGTGGCTCGGGCTCGCTGTGCTCTGCGTACGTGACCTGCCTGTCCCAAAGCGAACGCTTTGGTCTCGGGACCAGAACGGACGGCTCGCGCCCGTCCTTGACCTGCCCGCGTGCTGTTTAGACTACAGCGAAAGGGAGATTTTTCACTTCTGCCGCTCCAGCGGAGGGAATTGGGGGAGCTTTTACGCGGCCCTGGCTAGCTGAAGCAGAGCCGGTGGGACGGTGCTGGCTGTGGGAGGCAGCCTGGCTGTCTGTCCGTCCGTTGTACTCAGCTGGCGCCCGTTTAATCCCGTTGCTTCTCCGCAGAATGGTCCAGCAGTTCGGTGTGGACTTTGAGAAGCGAATCGAAGGTTCGGGAGACCAGGTGGACACACTCGAGCTCTCCGGGGGTGCCAGAATCAATCGCATTTTCCACGAGAGATTTCCTTTTGAGCTGGTGAAGGTAAAGCTGGCCTGGGGAGCGCGTGTGCCGCGTAGGCGGGCAGGCCCTGTTCCTGCGGAAAGCAGCGCCTGCTTGGGATGGGCTGAGCTCCCTCGTGCCCGGCTCCGACCCCGGCAGTGCCTCAGCACCTGCGTGCCTTTCCCTTCCTGGCACTCGGAGGTGTTTACAGAAGGAGGGGATGTTTTATTAGGCGGTCGCGTGTTACGGTAGCCGCAGCGGGCTGTCGTTTCTGGGTGGCCGTGCCTGACCTCTGGCCTAAGCCCTGGGCTTGCCATGAGGAAGTTGCAGAGCAGGGAGAAGGATGTCAATCCAGGGTGCTAGCGAGATCTCCGGATCTGAGATAGGTCAATCAGAGAGGGAGCCAGTCTGGCCAGGACAGAGAGCAGCCTCTGAACCGGCTTGTAAAGCGCTTCGTGGGCCGGGGACGATGAGCGCGTCAGGCGGGCGTCTGCCTCCTGCGGTGCTGCAGAAGAAAAGAAGGGCTGCGGCGGGAGCCCGCTTGCACGCCCGCGGGGTTGCCAGAAGTTCCTCGCTGTAAAAATCCGAACTGTGGCTTTTCTCCCTCTTCAGATGGAGTTTGACGAGAAGGACTTGAGGCGAGAAATAAGCTATGCAATTAAAAACATCCACGGCGTGAGGCAAGTATCGGAGCGGTGCGGTCACGGGTCCCGTTCTCCTTAGAGTAGATCAGCGAGGCTGGTCCGCGGGGCGCGCGTGAGCGGAGCTTTCCCGCCGAGGGAGAGCCGATGCCTGTCACTGTCGGCTCATCGTCCGCTGTCGTGTGGAGACCAGCGTTGGCTGAAAATGGACGTTCCTGGCCTTTGAGAGGGAATTACAGGGGTAACTCGGCCCCGCCGTGTGTCCCACCACGTAGCGGGCGGTCTCGGTTAGCAGTCGGGCTTGCCCCGCTCCCCGGAGAACCCAGGGGAGGCTGCAACGCAGGCGCTGAGCTGGAAAATTTCCCCTCTTGCCTTCAGTTCAGCCACTAAAATAACCTTTATCTTTCCTCTCACATTCCTGTAAGCGGGGGAAGAAATGACCTTGGGAGGAAGGTAGGGAACGTGAAGTTAAACCCTCGCAGAAAAAGAGGGATGCAGGTCCTGGGGCGGGCGCTGGGGCCGTCGCCTCGTTGGGGAGCGGCGCGCCTCGCGTGGGCGCTGCTCGGCCCCTCCGGCGCGGAGCTGTCGGGGAGTTAGGGACCCCAAAGAGGAATTAATTACCTGCGAGTCCTCAGCTCGGCCGGCCCGCTCTGCTGTGAAGGGAAAAGAGAAAGGCAGAGTTTCTTCTCTTTGCTTTAACGCTCTCCCCAGAGTCACTTGGCGGGCTGGTGGCGTACCCGTTTTCCCTAATCACCGCCAAAAAGGTGAATTCCCGTTCCCTTGCGGCGCTGACGCGCCTGGGCTCTCTTGCTCCCGTTCGTGGGGGGAGCAGCACCCTAATTCGAGGGGTTGGAGGGTGCTACCACGAGGCGGGGGGGCTGC